AATATCCTGTTCGATAATAGGTGTCAGACGCGCTACTGTTTCAATACTTTGTCCGGTAATGAAGAAAAACAAATACTTCATAACCCCTGCTAGTATAGGATTTCTCAGCCCATTTCGACTAAAGTAATGTCAACGACAATGTTTACCATGTACCGGATCCGTACACTATTTTTCATGACACCCGATAAACATATCACATACATATCCTCATTATCAACTAATCATCAATTTCATACAAAATCTTGTTTTATAATTTCAGGACATCATGACGAGAATTAAATTGCAATATAATTTAGTACTTTAATCACTAAGAAAACATTGTGAGGACATTTATTTTAAACCAACCAATAGATATGAATAAAACGGTTAAATAAGCTAATGAACGAGAAATAATTAAAATTAATAAATTAAAGCATACGATGTAACAGTAAGCAATTTAAGCAACATTGAAACAAATAGGCAACACAAATAAACTATACACTAACTCCTTACTTGTTTCGTCGGTGACCTGTATTTTGTTAATAAAAGGTTGTCAAAATTCACAAAATTTCAACCGTTTATTATTATTTAAACTTTAATTAACTATAATGGGAGAAAATGTGAGGGATACTTACACTGCATCGGTGTTTGAAAAATTGTATTTTTCACTAGATCTCCTAGTGGTTCTCGAGTTTCTTGTGTTTTTCTACATAAATAAAAAAATACAAGTTACGTATTCCAAAATATCTCAAAAAGGCCAAAATAAGCATTTTTAAAATTTTTTGGTCGGTTTAAGGTTCTGGCATGGTGACTTTGTTGTGCTTCTACGCCAACTCCGCTGCCCACAATGACGTCTCTTCTTGGCCTGGTCATTTTCAGCCGATTTTGGTCGGTTTAGGCTGATTTTGCATGAAATTCTACAAAAAAGGGGTTAGACAGCCTCTGTCAGCCAGAAAAAGGGAAAACTAAGGTCTTACAAGCAGAGGAATTTTTCGGTGTGGCGGCTCCATCGTTCTTCTCTCATGGTCGGGGCTTCTCTTCGGCTAACCTGCACTAGAAAGAGATGAGGAACATAAAGGTCAAAGAATCGAAAGAAACAAGAAATAGGAAAAAGCTCATCGGAGGGGTTTTAGGTCACGACCGTGGCAGCTCAGTCGAACTCCGCTCGTATTTTCTGGTTTACCCTTAGGCCTTTTAACTCCAATATGGGTGTAGGTAGGTTTGGAATCAAATTCCCAACGAGAAGGGGGGGGGGGGGGGGAATAATTTTCCAGTATCGGCGGTGGCTCCAGTGCAGTCGCGATGGCAGCCGGTCTTTTTCTTTAGCGATTGGTTCGTTTCTGGCCTCCCCTCTTCTTATTCTCCAATGTCCTCTTAACAGCTAGGGCTATGGTTTCTTGTGGATGAGGAGTTTAAATACTCATATCTATTAAATTCAGGTTATTCATTCGAGAAGATGTGACCCCTCCTCAACCGTTGAATTAATTATATATGGGAAACAAATTTGGACAGTATGATCAGATGAAATTAGGACTGTTCGATCACGCTTGAAGGAGAAACGAATTTGGACTGTCCGTGCGCGCGGGAGGAGATCTAGGCTATTGGATCGACTGGCACGCATGACTCCCTGCGTGGACGCGTGCCCGCGTGTCTGCCACGCGGTGCACGACAATCGGTCGTGTTGCTGATGTGTCAGTCCATGTGGCCAAAGTT